TCCACATAGTAATGATAAAACAGTAGTAAACAAACCAATAGTGAAAATAATTGCTTTTAAATAAGTGTAAGTAATACATTGATAATAAAAGTAAAAGATTTTTAAAAACATATTCATGATTACCTACAATGTGTTTATGGATTGAAGGAATGACTCCTGAGTTTTTACATCTCAAATTTATTTACACTCATAAATTTCATATTATTCAAATTAACCTTGTCACCCTAATATTAAGGAAGAAATTTAGACCATGCAGATAGTTAATAATTGCTAAGATTTTAGGAAGTAAACACTGCTATTTTAAAGAGTGGAGAAGGATTAAGAAATATCAGTGTGCTAGTTGGATATAATAATCTGCATCTTTCAACTTTTATTTCATTTTACTTTTATTACTCTTACTTCTCAGGCTCAAATTTGTGAAAGTTATGACATTCTATTAATTCAAGATTGTTTGTTTTCTGTGTACATATGTATTTTTGGCAAATTATTTCATTTTCCCGTTCCCTCATGCCTCAGTTTTTTGGTAAGATTATGTATCTGTCTTTTTCACTGTAACTGAAATTTTTTGTGTCTTTAAAAAGAGAAGCAGGAGGGGCTGGGGATTTAGCCCAGCGGCAAAAGCGCCTGCCTGGCAAGCGCAAGGTAGTGAGTTCGGTTCCCGGTACCGGAGAAAAACAAAAACAAAAACAAAAAAAAAGAAAAAGGAGAAGCAGGAATGGATGGAGTCTAAATATCTTCTTTGTATGTGACTCTGTGTGTGTGTGTGTATGTGTGTGTGTGTTGCTGAACCAAAGGCCTTTGCACTGAGCTACATCCCCAGCCCTCCCTCCCTCCCTCCCTCCCTTCCTTCCTTTCTAAATTTTGAGACAAGCAAGTCTGGATCTTTCCATCCTCCTGACTCAGCCTCCTGAGTGTAGCTTGACTCTCTGCTTCAGATGGAAAGATTATATTTGTAATATAGCATTTTCAAACTAATGTCGTGTGCCTATCTGCATCATCACTTTGGTCCAGAGAAATCTGGCCAAGAACTCTGGATAAAGGAACATCACAGACTTGCCAAAGAAGGTTTGCTATTTGAAGAAGAAGAATGGTCAAAAAACAAGGTAAGAAGAAAAAAAATGGGCTTGAGGAAAGAGCTCATGAAAATGAAACAATACTGTAGAAATCATGGGTAATGAAGAAGTTATGGGGCAGCTGGAACTTGGGACACATGGAGGGACAAATGGAGTGACTTAGGAAAACTCTTAAGAAAGCATCATAAAACTATCATACGTAAATTATTATTGGAAGGAACAAAATCTGAGTCAATGTTCTTCTGTATTCTTTATAGGGAAAATAGGTGGACCTGGCATATTTATTGCACTCTGCTTGAAATGGTACATGGGTCTAAGGATGTTCAGTAACACTGCATGCTATATCATGCGAACATATACTACAAAATGTTCCCAACACAAAACTATAGTAAAAATTCAGTGTATAAGCATGTGTGCCCATTTAAAAGCTCTTTACATGATAAAAATATTTTAGATATAGTCCTTTGAATATTAAAATTCTTAGCAAACTAATGGGTAGAAAAGCAAATGTATATTTTTTGTTCTCAAATTGTATTTATTTTTCCAACATTCTGATTGAAAAATCAATAAAACTACCCCTGAGATCATGTGGGTCAGACCAACCACCAAGAAATCTCCACTACGGTTTCAATATGCAAAAGTAATTTCAAGTTAAAATATCAGTCACTGATGACCATTGTGTAAGATTTCCTGATGTGTTTCACTATGTTTTCTTAGGGTTCACATTAAAAAGCTCTGTAAAGGGAGAGAAATAATGTGGGCTAGGGTGATATAGTATTATTGCATCATTTTTGAGTCTTAGAGCAATTTAATGTTACTATCAATATGAAAGAGTTAATAATTCTGATTAGTTTTATAACTCCAAGTGAAAGACAAGAGAACATGAATTTTTTTATGTCTGCAAGATGTTGGAAGTAGTCAATGCATCAATCAGCACACACTAAACTTTGATTTTACTTCCAGCAAATGCTGAGATTATTTCAGTGTGCTAAAATACTTTGTAATTCTCCTCTCCATAAATAACCCAAACCTGTATCTGGTGGGCAAGGTTTAGTGAGGGGAGTTCAATCATCTAAACTGTTTTTGGTAGAAAATTTTACCATAAAATGATAATTTCATTAAAAAATTATGAAACAATTATATTCCAAATTCCACAAAGTACACCTGTCTGTTGTTTAACAGGGATCCTGATAGTTTATTTTTCAAATGTCATCAAGCTTAAAGTACTGTTGTAATATTAATTATATGTAGAATGAAAAACAACTTAAATCCGAAGGGAAACATTTTCAGAGATGGCATTTCTCCTAACTCATTTCATTGAAAATTATATATCCATAATTAAGCAAAGTTTAAATTTAAGTAAAAAGTTTACTGCTAAGAATATCTTATAATTTCTTTATTGCTGCTTGAGGTTTCAGTACCATAGACATCACCAGACTATCAGAGGCCTGCCCTCTACGGAATTAGCACTTAAAATGAAGCAACACAGAATGCAAACCTTTAGCATTTTCTTTTTGTATGAGTGATTCAATTCTAGGATCACACTTATCAAGGACATAAATTTTAAGTATCAATTCTTTTACAACTTTATTTCCATTCCAAACTTCTTTTCTAAAATAAAATAGAATTAAAGGAAAGAAAAGAACCACCAAAGGAATAATTTTCAGAAGAATGAAGGCTTATCATTGGTGCTAGGACTGGTTGATTTGGTTTTCTGTAGGGTTTGTTTCTTTTTGTTTTAGTTTTTCTTAATATTATTGGGCCTTCAATTTAAACTGTTGAAATAGAAGAAAAACAACCATAGTAAATGCATGGAGAACTAAGATCTCAGAGAACAGTACGTTGTGTGGAAGTTCAGCGACCAGTGACAGTAATGTCAGGTGGAAAACAGAACCTGGAGGCTTCTGGTCTCCCGCTAACAAATACATGAGAGGGATGTGGCCGTGAATTTCACCCCACAAACTAAATGGAAGGGTCCTTTTTATTGGTTTGAAATATGTTATTCCCCAAAAGCAAAAGTACAAAGGAAACAGCTCCTACTTTGGAATGAGATGGGTTAATTTAAACATGAATGTTGATTACGTTATTGTTCAGAAGATCAATTATGTGGACTAAATAATTCTTCTCCAAATGATAAATGAGTAATGTGAAGTAAAATGAAATTTTTCAAAGTGAAAATCTGAGAGTGAAAACAATACTTCACACTATAGATAAAGAAACAGGAAGCAAATGGTGTTTTAAAACAGTAAGACTGATGATAAATAAAAAGGCAGCAACAGGGTTATCCCATGTTCTAAAGCAGAACTATCCAATAGGAAAAATAACAGTCACAAGTGCAAGTCATAGATATAACTTTTTTACTCAGATTATATCTAAAAAAATTAAGAAACAGGTCACATTAATTTTTTGAAAATGTCATTTAGCCCAATATGGTCAAAATATTGTCATTTTAATGCATATCACTATGAAATCATTGATGATCTATTTTACATGGTTTTTTCATCTTCAATAAGTGATATGCATTTTACATGTACCACATATATGCACTAAGACTCTATAATTTCAGTTGTCAAAGAGAAACATGACTGGTGGCTCACTCTTGGCTGGAGAAGAGCGGGTAGATACCATTGTATTTCTTGGAATTTAGTGGCTATCTCATTTATGTTCAGCAGAATGGATAGAATCCATGCTCATGGTGATATCAACCTTTGAATTTAGTTAGGTTTTTGTACTACTGACCTGTTTTCTTATTGAAATAACAAATCATACTTCTTATATGATAAAGTCACCTCAATGGAACTAGCTTAATCAAACAAAATGGTGAACAGCTCTGTACCACAATGCTTTATTGCCAATTTCCAACATATTAATATGTAATAAGTACGTTGAATTTTTCCTGCATTATCATTGTTAAAATTGTCAATTATTGTTGCCTTAGGTTTGTGCTAGTGTCTGTTAGCAAGCTGCTTCTGCATTTATAAATGTATATTTTTCTATCAATGTGTCAGCTTTGTCCCTATCCACTACAAACACAGATGTAAACCTTTAACAAAGAGTGAACCACTGGCCATTTAAGAACCATACCTATTTATCTAATAATTCCAACTCATAAATAGCTAAGAAATTTCTGATGGAATCTATTACAGGACAAAATGGTAGAATTAAATCCACACTGATCTGTAAAATTCTAAATTTAATTAGAAAAGCAGTTATTTACTTCTGTGTCATATCTTGAAGTCAAAAGAGGTAAGCCTAATTTAAACTCACCTGACCTCCAATTTCAATAGTGATAATGATTTTTAAATGTGAAAATTCTGGATTTGAGGAAGATATGATATATTGACCTATTTTAGACTGTATATATCTTCTAGAGTAATTCCAATCAATGCGGCCATAGACAGAAGCTTAGGATGTCAGCAAAGAGAGAAATCATTATGCCTAAATGTTGTAAAAGCATAAAACAGTTTTCTAAAGGACATAAAAAGTGATGTGTATATAGTGACTTTTTTGACTAAGGATACAGATAATTATATTCTAATCATTTGGGATCTGGTGTTCTCAAAATAGCATTGCTATTTTGAGTTTGAGTTAACTTAAGAAGTACAGTCCCATTGAAAAATGTAATCAAGGGGCTGGGGATTTAGCTCAGCGGCATAGCACCTGCCTGGCAACGCAAGGTCGTGAGTTTGATTCCCAGTACCGGAAAACAAAACCAAAAAAAAAAAAGAAAAATGTTATCAGCAGAAATCACTGTGGTAGGTAATCTGCCATACTGGTCAGGTTTTAGGAATTATCACTTTTTAAACCTCAATTACATCACTTACCCAACTTTTTGCTTCTATCTTTACTCTCCTGGTAGAAATCATTAGGTGTTTAAAGGGAGAGAAAACAAAATAGGAAAAGCTGCAGCAAAAGGTACAAGGATACAGTCCCTTCCTGGAAAGAGGATTTTGTGGCGAACCATTTCTCCCATAATGCATCCCACAGACCATATATCCACTGGAACAGGAGCAAAAGGGAAGTGAAGACAAAGGAGGGAAATAAAGTTAACTAACATGATCACCTCTGCAGGAGGAAGAAGAAGAACAGTTCGATTAGAAGGTACAGTGTCCCCCTCCCACCAAAGGGGGCCAACAGATGAATAAAAACCATCACTGTGGTGTACAATAAACAGTGTCCAGCTGAGGAATGTGAATTAATGTCTTTTTAAAAAGCATTACTCTATGGATGCCTATACCCTCCTAACGCCACAGAATGGCACAGAAAAGCAGTAGCTAAACAAAAGTATCTCTGTGATAGGCAAAAGCTAAGGGCCACCCCAGAGTATTTTTAATATTACTTGTCAGATGTAAAACAATCACTTCAGTCACTCTGTAGGAGTGACGGCTTCTCTTATTATTCTATTCAGTTATGTGGGGGGGGGGGAACAAAAGGGTGCTTAGTGAGTGTGCGTGTGTATGCGTGCGTGTGCACATGTGCGTGTGCATGTGTGTCCAAAATAAGGGCAAATTCAGCCCAGTCCAGGACGAGGAAATGGCTGGAGCCCTGCTTTACATGCACAGGACGGGAATTCCCAGTATTCAGACTTGTAACTTCATGGATTACACTTCTGAATTAATATCTGTTTTAACTTCTACTTGAAATATTTAGAGAAGATATGTGATAAGTTAGCACATACGTAAGGGAGTCATGTACAGGTAAAGTGGAGGAAAAAGTGGTACCCAAGGTGCTCAAATGTGTCATTGCATATAGATGTCACCTGTATAGACCCATGTATATTACTTCCCACTTGCTATCCTGGCTAAGAATCAATGCCTCGCCTTCTCTTACCAACTTTATGCACTCCCAACTCGCCTTTCCTTGGGGACAGAGGGGACTTTGGGCACCAACAGGAGGCTGCAGTGCTCTGGGGTGGGGTGCGGTGCAGGGACAGAGGGCATGCCCGGGAGCAAGCAGGCGTCTGAGTTACCTTCCTTCCCCATGCGCCAAAGAAGCCAAACAGGGAGGCAGTGCTTGCAGCCCTTTCTAGTACGAGGAGAAAGGGGTGTGAATGCCTGCACCCTGCGGGGCAAAGGCCTAAAAAGCCAGAAGGGGCAAATTCAGACCCTCACTCTTACATCCTTAATCCTTTTCTTTTGTTGACACGTAGTAATTATACCTGTGTGGGGTACAGCGTGACATTTGGTGCTGCACACAATGTGCAGTGATCCAGTTAGGGCAAATAGCACATCCATCACCTCAGACATTTACCACACCATGCAAAATCCTCAGCGCTCTTGAAATATACGGTAAATTATTTTCAACTATAGCCCTTCGTTCTTGACTTTTCTCCAATCAGCTCTTCTCTGATTTTTAAGAAGTTACTTGTGCAGAGCACCTGTGATCCACATTTCCTCAGGAAGAGGCTACATTTACCTCTAACACTGGCCACCAAGTTCACTTGTCCCTCTTTCTTTCTTTTTTATCTTTCTTTCTTTCTTTCTTTCTTTCTTTCTTTCTTTCTTTCTTTCTTTCTTTCTTTCTTGAGTCAGGGTCTTGCTATGTAGTTTATGCTGGCCTTGAACTCACTATATAGCCCAGGCTGGCCATGAACTCACAGAAATCCTCCTACCTCAGCCTCCAGAGTCCTGGGGTTGCAGATGTGTATCACTATGCCTAGTTTGCGTGTGTGTGTGTGTGTGTGTGTGTGTGTGTGTGTGTGTGAACTTGCCCTTCTTAAAACTGATTTTCTCCTTCCTCTGTACAAGTACATAAAAGTATTGGCTGTCTTCAGTGGCTAGGAAATTTTCATAAAGTACCCTGTAGCACATGTGCATAAAAGTACAATGAAAATTATTTTTATAAAATATATAAAAATAGATTACTTAAAACTAAATAGAATATAAAAACAAATATAAAAGATACATTGGACAGATATATGCAGTCCTAGTTTAAAACTACTTTTATTTCTAAGGCTATGAGATATGTTTCTGAACATACTACACTACTTGCAAGAGAGAGTCTGGACAAAGTCAGATACTGCAAGGCTTTCTAGCAAGTAGTTTATATTTCTCCATCTTATTCAATCAAAATCCAATTTGAATACATTTGAATACACCCTTCTTTTATTTTTTAAATTTTCTTTTGTGTGTTAGACACAGGTCTCACTATGTAGTTCAGGAGGCTTTGAATTCACTTTGTAACCCAGGCTGGCCTTGAACTCACAGCAATCCTCCTGCCTCAGTCTCCTCCTGAGCGCTGGGATTACAGGTGTGCACTACCACACCCAGCTAAACCCTTCTTTTAAAGTGTTTGTGTATATTCAATTTTCTTTCTGAACTAATAATGTAAAATGTAATGTTTTTCCTTCCTATGGTCTATAAAACTTTGCCATGCAACTGAGAACCTCAATATTCTTTATGGAGCACTTTAAAGTATGAATGAACTTCTTATCCAATTTGAGTAACATGGGTTATCCCAACCGGATTGCTCATGCAGTGCTTACAAAGACTGTCTTGCTGCTCTTCCCCTAGGACAAAGCCCTACCATGAAAGCCAAGTGGGGAAGTGGAATAGAGGTCTTCCTCTTTGCACACTCACTCTTACCTGAACTGCAAGTCCAGCAGCAATTGTCCTCATTATCAATGGCATTTGTTCTAACCAGTGCCCACTTGGCTCCAATTACAATTCTCTTAGCTGTAACATTTCAGTGCTTTCTTGCCAAACCTTACTTCTCAGACACATTCTTCACATTTTTAAGAAGTGATTTTTTCCTAGTAGTATTTTTTTTTCTTAAAAATAACAAACTTTGCATATGAAAGCTGGCAGCTCTATTTTTGAGCAATTCAGATTTATGAAAGACAACATACTCCCAGCTGCGTAAACCGTGTGCCCATTTCTCCCTGACTTCAGAAGCTCCCTACCGTTCTCCTTGTAGCCCATGCCCAGGATGACCTCGGGGGCTCTGTAGTAACGCGTCACCACGTACGGCGTCATCATGAAGCTCGTGCCTGCTGTCCTGGCCAGGCCGAAATCCAGGATTTTCAATGTGCAGTCGGACTTGACTACAATGTTACTCGGTTTTAAATCCTGAGAATGGAAACACCAGAGGACATTAACTGTACCCTATAGAACTCAGAATCTCATCTACCCAACCAACGTGTCATGTGGGGTCTCCCCTTGCCTGCAAAGCCCTGTATAAGGCATAGGGCGAACCACTAGGAAGAAGCTGACGACTCATTTTAGGTTTTTAAAAATTAGCTTCAGAAATTTTTTTAAATCCTTCAAAGAACTGTATTATCATTTTTATCATTTAGGCTCAAAAAAGAGTTTTCTAGTTTAAAAAAAAAATACATTATTTATTGTCATCTCAGGTTTGTCCTTAGGGTAACATAACTTCTCTTCGTATTTCACTCCCAGACCTGATAGAAGTCAGGGTAGCTGTCTTCATTCTGCCAGAACTGCATTAGTGCACCTGCCTGTACAATCAAGGAGTGAGAAAGCTTGAGATCACTCAGAACTGAAACGTAATGTCACACATAGTCAACTACAGTTTGGCTAGAAGCTCCTGCTACACATTAGTGAGCTATACACTAATTGTGTTATCAAAGGAGTGCGGAAGTGCATTTTATTTGCACACATTCCCCTATTTAAAGGAAAAGATCTACAGCTGTTCTTTCTCTTCTTCAAGGGACTCTTAGCTATAACTCTGTAGTAAGTGTCCTTACCCTGTGGATAATTCCAGCAGAGTGCAGGTGTTTGATACCACACAGCATTTGGTATAGCAGGTAGGACATCCGCTCATGGTCTAATTCCATCTGAATCACCTGACATAGGTTTGCATCCATCAGTTCCATTACTAAGTAACTAGAAGGTAAACCACAGTGTCAGCTCCAGATTTTGACTAGTGAAATCTCTCAGTCAAGTTAGAATTCTCTACTGGATCTGTAAGTTTTCTGAACTCCCCAGCTCTGCCTAGGACAGAACCAGAATATGAAAACTTGCAAGCCCCCCATGCGTTAGCTATAGCAGCTGTCACCAGGCTGCTAGGAGAAGCACTGATTAATGCTTGAGTCACACCTGTAGACTCTTACTTTCATTTTGCTCTTGCTTCTTCCTGTATTCCCTTAGTTTTTGCTTGAATATTATAATTACAAATAAGAAAAAAAAATGGGGATAGCTACTTCCACTAAAGCAATGTAGACAACCTGCTGAGGAATTGCCTCTCTTCTCTCTATGTAGCTCTATTTCTAGGTAGATTGCACAGAATCAAGGGTGGCACAAAATGGAAATAAAGATAATTTCATCATGTTGTACTAGCATTCCTCAAAATAAACTGACTCATCCTAGAAAGGAGACAGAATCAATTAATAATAAATAAATAAATAACTATAAGCAAGCCTTTCCTGATTGAACCAGGACCACTGAGCCACAAAGCACATAGAACCCAGAAGACAGAAGAAGGCACAGTGATTTTCAAGACATAACACCTGGCCAGCAGTCTTCCACTGGGTCCCAGCTCTTATCTCCCACTTGACCACTGCAGGGGATTTCATCTCTCTGTCTTTTCATTTTTTCCTAACTTTCCCTTGAGTTGCACGAGCGTCGGCTTGCCCTTCCTCGGGAGTTAGTTACTTACACGTCCTGGAACTCCTCCAACGTTTTCTGGGGTGTGAAGACATTTAGTAAGCTAATAATCTGGAAAAGCACAGGAAGGCCAGAGGAAAGAGAGAAAGAGAGAGAGTGAGCTGTGTAAAAATCACACTTAGGCATATTTGAAATGAAAGTCACTCACTAGAGCTACAGTAGAAATACAAAAGTTGGGAAAACTTTCTAGACTGTCTCACAAAACATAGAAAAGTATACTCAGAAAGGTGTTATGGTCTGTTTTCAGGTTAATGGTGTAGTTTAACAGTTTATGTTTCTAGACAGCCAGAGAAGAGCCAGAGAAGATCTAGATGACTGTAGATTTCTTTAACGTGATTCTCCCTGGTAGGATGGAGACCCACAGGTGGTTAAATGCAGAGGAGGCAAAACCATGTAAGAAGAGAAAGAGCAGCCTGGAAAATGCAGCAGGACATATCAAGGTGATGCTTTCCTCCAAAGGCATAACACACCCTTCTGGTACCGCTACTAGGGTTTCTTATTTCTATCTCACACTAAATATTACTGAAACTAATGCTGTAATGTTGTTTGTGCGGGGGATTACATCATAGATAACTAAGGGTGAATGTAGTGGAAAGTATATTTAAAAAGTAATCTGAACTCAATTCTAAACTTTTGGCTCCCTGCCTTAATATTTTGTTCGTGAGACAACAAAGAAATTCACCTTCTAGAATGTACACATTTTAAAAAGCGCTTTATCCCAGTTCCATATGAATTACGTACATGAATAACTCAAGATGTTCTTCCACCTAAATGTTCTATATTAATGTGCCAGTCAAAAATGAAAATAAAGTATGCAGATAACAATCTTATGTTTACAAGTTGGTTGTACTTATGTTACAAAAACGAGAGGAGTACAAGTTCAAGATTTAAGTAGCTTTGGAGCGTCAATCAGTGGATTTTAGTAAATTCTGTAAGTGGCACAGAAACATATGAAGTTCTTAAAAACAGAATTATTTCAAACACCTGAGAAAGGCAGCCATTTCCATGCAGGATTTTTATTTCTTAAGAAATTATTGAGAAAAATATCACAACACCGTCAAATCTTTTCTAGTATAAATAATATGTGGTAATGGTTCTAAGTATATCAAAAACCCCAAGATTATATCTTATACAGCAACTTTTACAGGATGAAATATAGACCTAAATCAACAATTGTTTCAAAACATCTTTAAAATTTGTAATTAAAATACTTGAGGTCCTGTATGCCTAGTTGTGGCAGGTGTCGAAAATGTTGATATAATACATCTTGCATTTGAACATCTATAGTAAGCCTGTTCTCAAATACTTTGTCAATCTCATAAAGTAATTTATTTCATTTCCATATTTATTTACACAACACACAGGGCACACATTCACACAAGCAACACTCCAAGGAAGAAAAATGTTAACCTCTACCATTTGGTAAACAAATAATCTCACGAATGTAAATTAGTCTACAAAGTAGCATTACAATTTTAGGGACGTCTAGATTTATTGTGTAAATTTCCCAAGCTCTATTCCCTATTGTCTATTCTCATTTTCCTGTTTGCTATGCTCTTGTTTTATAAATTTAACTTCTACGATTTTCCTTTTAGATTTTCTCTTCTCTTCATTCTTTGCTCCCTTATAAATTTTAATTCCTACACATAAGCAACTCAATAATTTATCTTTAAGAAGAGAGCATCACAGATATTTCATTTTAGTTCTACCGTTTCCAGCAGGAACTGGACTCCATGTTTTGAGAGGCACATGTGCATCAATGTTATTGAACCCTCACAATCACTCCAGATACCCTGTCTTGCAAATGGGTATTCACTTTCTAAATGGGTTTTCTTCACTATTGCTCAAGATTTTATAGGATTTCTTCATTGTTTTTGTATATTTTCAGCAGTGTTAACAGAGTTCTATATTTCAACTGCCTTTTCTTAATGAAGCAAGTACTAATGTAGGACTTAACAGCCAGATGTGAGGGAAGCACCTCTCTACTAAAAAAATATATTTCTGTAGATGGACATGCATACCTACATTATCATATGCACACGGGAAAGAGCACAGATAAGATACTACTGATAAATTATCACTGCAATTTGGAAATCTTTTTTAGGTATTGTTAATGCGAGGCATGACAGCTGACTGAATTAAAAGGCCAATGACCTCCAAAAAACTCCACAACATGAAAAATACCTGATGTAAAAGTCAATGGAAGATGGGCACTGTGGTGCACACCTGCAATCCCAGCACATGGGAGGCTGAGGCAGGAGGATCATTGCAAGTTTGAGACCAGCCTGGGCTACAAAATGAGCTCAGGCCAGCCTGAACTACATAGTGAGAGCCTGTCTCAAAGAAAAAAAAATTTAAAAGTCACTAGAGTAGAGTAATACAAACAAAGAAAACCACTTTCATTGGCCTGAATCCACACATTTACATTTCAAATATCCTTCAGCCAAACACGCATACGTTTGGATCTCCTTGGTGCCACTGGTAGAGGGCTAGCCATATGACAAGAAACCTTGTTTATAAACTTCACCAATCATTTCATACATTCTGTGATTTTTATGCATAAGAAATTCATAGGAAGTTATGATGGCTATTATTGTATAATACTTATAATTATTTTATTACATCCTTACATGTAACCAAATGTACTTAATAAATCTATTAAAATAAGTATTAAATCAGTTATTGTAAAAATAATGAATTATCTCATGGATCTCCTTACTAAGGAGAAACAGAGCACAGGAAACATTCTAGAGACCTCTGCTTGGGATAAGAAGCCAAAACTCTGAAGTGAAGAGGGTTACGTTCTCCCCACTGAGCTCGGATGAGAAAATGCTGTCAGTGATCCACTCTGAATTGCTTTGCAGGGCTGGGGATATAGCTCAGTGGCACAAGAGCCTGCCTGGCAAGCCCAAGGTCCTGAGTTCGATTTCCGGTACCAAAAAAAGAAAAAAAGAATTGCTTTGCAGATATGCACTTCCTTGTTTGCCTGACCCTTCAGAATCCAAGATGCCAACACCCACTGATTACTCTGAGCAGCTAGTTGGAGGCCACTGCCAGAGTACAGCTAAGGTTCAAAGGAAATAACAACGAATAAAAACATCCATCTGTTAATAATTCAATTTAAATGATAAATAAATATGGTATACTGTTATATAGTTTTTCTAGGTTTTGTGGAGGGGCTGGGGGAAGTATTTGTTTGTTTTCTTTGAAAAGCCTAAGGTCTTCTGTTAATAGAATTAAGATAACCAAGTAAGGTTAATTATGAAACAGAGACATGTCTATCAAATTCATCGTCATGCCATATGGCTTTCTGATGATCTTTAAGCAGGAAGCTACCGTGAGGACAATGAAATCACATACAGCATATGGGCCAGATAAACAACCTTGAGAGGCAGAAATCGCAAAGTAAAGAAAGCCTTTCCTACTGAAGTTGCCATTTATTTTCATGTCTTCATCTCACAACTTCCCATGGCCAGAGGTTTCAAAATAACAGGGAGACTCACGTTTTTATGGTTCACGCACTTCATGAGGACCAGCTCCCGGTAGGCTCTCTTGGCGTGCGTTTGGTTCTGAAAGGGTCTGCTGAGCTTCTTAATGGCCACATTTCTGTCCAGAACAGCATCGTATGCAGCACTGCAGAGAATCAAGAGCAATCCAGAATGAAGAGCAGAAGATCCCTAGGACTCTTGCCCACCTTACTAAGGGATAGGTAGAGAAAGCGCTATGCTGGCCGCCTACTGAGATACCACTTTCTCTGTTCACATGACAATAGCTGTAAGTAAAGATATGAGTTACTGGTGGAAGAAGGAGTGCAGGAAAGTGGGGTAAAGAAGAGAGGAAGGAAGGAAGGAAGGAAGGAAGGAAGGAAGGAGACAGAAACGAAGGGTATTATCTTACTAAGAATACGGCATATGTGGGTTCCCATATACAGCAAGTAGAAAAAATAGTGCTCAAGTTTCCCACAGGCTCTGTGATTCTGTCCTGTCATCGCGTATCCCTGGGCGTAGATTCCTCATCTACTAATAAATGGTACCTAAGTATTCTTCAGCTGTAACCTCCATAGGCTCTCTGTTTATTTCAAATGAACAGTCATTCTTTCCTAGTCACAGGAGCCAGCTTTTAAGGTCCATTGCTTACTGCCATGAAAGCATGGGGGGCGTGGATAACCAAAGTGGGCTCATTAACTATAACAAAACCCAAAATAAGGATGCAATCAGAACCATAAATAACTTCACTGAAATACCAAGACCGAAATAAGCGCTGCTGACATCTGAAGCTTTCGAACTGTCCGAGAATAATTTATCATGCTGTGAAAAAGTAATCCAAACACATGGTAAAGTTTCTCTCACACTCAGAAAACATGGGGCTGGAGATCAAGTGAGCACGTAAGGGGCTCTTCTCGCTGCTATACCTAATGATGTTTCGCAACATGTTTGTCTCCTGTCCCTGCAACTTTTGAGTTTTGCTGGGTTTTCTCTTGCTCTCCAGAAGAAAGGCAGAAACCAGGATCTCCTATGATTGATCTGTTGCATGGGAAGTGACACTTACCACTTAAGGCTCATGCTACTGAACTAAAAAATAAAAAGTGGGGAAATTACTACGCTGTGTGGTAGAAACAGATTCACGGGATAAGTGTTATGTTCATCTGGACCATGCCTCTATTTAGTATTCATTTCTCTCTAAAATATCACTACCAAAATTTCATTCATCTCTGCCTATGTACCGCCAAAAGCAGAGCTCATTAATAGCAAGGCAACTCATTCTGTCATTAAACAGCTTCAAGAGTAGAAATGCCATCATTCTAATAAGCAGAGTTGTCTCTGCTTGGTCAAGTTCCCCTGAATATATTTCAGTCTGTCTGTGATCTGCGAAAATGTGGACCCTGAACTAAATAAGACATCACATGGAAGACTGCTAAAGGGTTAGGGTAAGGCTTTCAATTCCTTCATCCATGCATATGTTTATTTATTCAACAACCCTCTTCTGACATTGTTAAGGCAGCAAAGTCTGACCTGGTATCTTGATAGCATCATACAAGATGCACGCACAGTGAGCCTATATTAATTAAAAGTACTTTCCTTTAAAAGACTTGTGCTTCCATTATATTACATGTGTCGGCACTGGCATTTCTGTTCTACCATTTGTTCATTTTAACCCACCAGTTCAGCACAGATAAAAGGAGTCAAGTAAACTGTATCTCATAAGACACAAGGACAAGGGTGGATTTGGGAATATAGGAATCAAACTTCGGGAAGTTCAGTAATTTATCAGGAGAAAACTGATAGTTCACTTTAAAGAAGACTGAATTGTAAGCCAAAAACAAGTTAGAAAAGAAATCTTTGAAAAAGTAGAATGGCAGTCACTCCCAAAGGTCCATCAAACAGTGAGAGACACAAGTTACGGCCCAATAAGAAACTGTCCTTGTAAGTCAGCCCAGGGATCCCATCGGGCAGGCAGAGAGCTTCCCCCACTATGATGGTCAGAGGCTTCCGATTAGAGCCTCCTGGGGCTGATTCTATCTTCTGCTGTCAAACTCTGTTCACCGCACTCTCCCTAACAGTGTCCCTTGCAAAAGTATTGCCCATCGTACCGCAGGACCTCATCACCCTCGCTGAGTGATGCCAGTCGGTGATTCCTCACCACTGAGCTCCTGGAAGTGGCACAGACACAACACAGTGTGGAGTGTCACTGGCCAAACTGCTGAGGGGACACCTGGACACAACAGGAGTGGAAGTGGGAAGGGGGCTGGGTGTGTGAACCTGAGGAAACCAGGTTTCTGACTCTTTGTGTCCACAGGCAACCACACACAGGCCGTAAGTGCTTATTATGAGGTTAGAAATGCAGTTTAGAGAGTACAAAAAACTGTCAGAACAAATACAGTCTTACTTGCTGCCTGACTGACTGTATTTCTAGCAGTCAGTCAACAAACTTCAGTATTTCTGTAGGGAGCAAATGTCAGGCTCAGTAGATGTTTCTTATAAGTAATTTTTCTTCCCTCTAAAGAAATAAGAACTTTGTCTACAGTTGCATTGAATATAATGTGTTGCTTCACTGAACATGACTTAACCCCCTCACCCCACATATGGAAGGATCTTTCCCTTTCAAAAGAGATTACAGAGCTTCAACGTGCAATTGCAGATCTAAGGTACAGCTAGCTCGCTGACTCTACTGAAGTCCTGCATGAAAATGCTAGATTTCCATCCTACTCAGAGACCATTTTCTTGGGTCACATGACAATAGCTTGAAGTTAGGAGATGCATTACTGGTGCAGGTGGGCATCTTCTGACAGTTCCTGGCTGCCAACCTGAGTCTGGAGGCCTGGTGGTGTGAGTGGTTCTCCAGCTCCCCAGCTGAGAGGAGGAGCTGAAGCAGAGGCAGCAGTGACAGCAGGTTCCAGGGACCAGGCTCCACAGGATGGAGAGGTAACAAGCACTAACAAGGACCCAGTTCCAGCTCCAGGACTCCAAGCTCAGCTATGATTTGTGCTCTGGGGACGCAGGGTTCTAGGGTACTCAGAGAGCATCTCCCCTGGTATTCAGCTCTCCAGGGTTTGCGAGTCCTTCCAGCAGGGCCAGACTAAAAGCCTGCCACTGGTTTTGCAGACATTCGGTTTACTGCATCAAACTTTTGCCTGATGCAATGTTTCTGTCTCATACTTTGAACCCTGGATGGCATCCCCATCTCCCAACTTCCAAGCTTCCCAGGTGATTACAAGCAGCAGTTCCGCGTGTACTGTATGCTTGCAGATGGCATCACTGATACTGTGAGGGCACAGACGCACATCTGACAGTGTCTCACGACTCCCAAGTCACCATTTTTAAAAGTCTTCTTCCTACTATTTTTCTTGCAGCAGTTTTCTCTCTTATCCACATAAACGTAAAAAAGGAAGCAAATCTTTACAAATATTTTCGAGCAACTTTCTAGCAATTTTGCTGAAGACAGATTTTTCCAGCAACTTATTCATATGCAACACTAACACACCTCCACTACTACCAGGTCTATTCATAAAAGAAAGATACAGCCTTCTGTTATTTAATCCAGCTATATAATGCTGTAGAGCTATGTTTATCTCCTTGTGTAAATTTACATGAGGGCTTATACACACTGGCAAGTCTTACTCTCAACAGATTTATTGGTCTTTTTCTTCTACCAATTGCAGATAAGCTCTTGCATAAATCTTTTTCCAGAGGCATAACAAGTGACTTGATATTATTCTTGTTCCTTTTATCTTTCAAATTTAAAATGTTCTTAATAATATTAACAAATTGGAGAGGGGGGATCCCTGTGTATCATAAGAAGAACTTTGTCTCTTCAACAATAACAAAACAATCCAAATATCATAGGAGCATCTTAAACCTCTTAGGCTGTGAACTAGCAAGTCAAATTCTGCCCTGCAACACACAGATACTGCAGCCTTAGTCACTGGTCCCATATTTCTACATTTTGACTTTGACTTTTTCCAAAGGCCTTGACTTCAGTTGAAAATTATTTAAAAACATCTACACCCAGTGCTTTCAAGTATATGGATGTCTTTTAAAAGAGAGGAGAAAAAACAATAAAAATGATACAGAATTTCAAAACAAAATGATAGGAATTAACAGTGGTCATTATATTGCATATTGTTATCTTCAAAATAGTTGCTCCGATTACCAGATACAGGCAGATAAGATTGATCAAACAATATAAGCACTAACTATTCCTTTCTATGAACTAATACAAA